ACCTGCATTTTATCAAAAAACATCATGGTTTTTCACCGATCCTACCTGTTGTTTAGCAATATCTACTTTATATTGTGAAGCATGCATTGCACATGCGGGTAATCGGAAGTTGTTGTTCGATCCCCGGCTCCTCCTGCCACGTGTCAAAGTATCCTTGGAGCCACATGACTGAACCCCCAAATTGCCCCGTCTGTGCATCGGTGTGTGAATGTGTGTGAATGTGGTAAAAGCACTTTGAGTGGTCGGATGACTAGAAAGGCGCTATACAAGGACAGGTCCATTTACCATTATGTTATTGTTAAAATGTACCTTTCTCAAATCTTTACCCTTTGCACAAATAACAGCAATCTCTTAAGAATTTATTTTGGCAACGTGTGGTTAAAAATGTCATATGTGGTTCCGAGGTGTATGCTAAACCTAAAAGTAGATCTTTTGGGGCGCCTTGGTAGCTCACCTGGTGGAGCTTGCGCCTCATGTGCGGGGGCTTTCCTTGTCACAGCATCCTGGTTTGGAGGGTTGCTGCATGTCATCCCCTCTTTCTCTCCCTCTCTCTCTCCCCCCTTGAAACCAACAATGTGCTAGTCTGTCCCTCAGTACTTCCTGACTACCCTTCCCTCATGATAACAAGCCCAGTGGTTCCTACAGAAGACACAAGTACTCCACAAATATATAGTTTCTTTTTTTAAAGGCTCAGTAATAATGGACATTTGTGGGGACTTGTTTTCAGTGGCAGATTAATACACATTTGATGCTCTAGTGCAGTGGCTCCCAACCCTTGGGTCGGGACCCCCCTAGGGATCACCGAAGCTTCACAGTAGGGCCTACTTGATTTAAAGGGGTGTAAGAAAACTTTAATAAATATACACAGGAGGCCTATATAATCTCAGCATTTTGTTAATTTCTGTGAAGAAAAGTAAATTAAATTATTTTTAAAGTTTAGATTATTATTACTAAAAGTATAGATTTGTCAAGAAAAGAAGCCTATTGACTCTAACATACAGAAAATACATAATACAGACAGATCATTGTATAAATAGTTGCTAAAAATATCACGAAAATGAATGAATAATCTGCTAGAACGTTCTCCAAATCACTCTTTTTAGACAAAATTCCTGTAGTTATTGCGTTCCCTATTTGGGTTCATTGTACAGTTTATAAGTCAGTGGTTGTCAGCTTACTCAGTGATAGAAAAAGGGTCCCTTAATGTGTGGGACTGAGTCATAATAAACTACAGTGTGTGTGCTCTGGTGAGGAATATGTCACTCAGGGTATCAGTGTGGCTCATTGATGTATTTCTAATAGAATATGGAGGACAATGGAGCTCTATGGCACAGAGGAATATGTAGATTCATTGACAATAAGAAAATTAAAGCTGCAAGCAGCATTGGACGGGACCTTGCCATCAACCTACGTCGGGGCCTGCACGGCGTTCGCCCGCTGTAGCCGCGTCACGCCACATCACCCCACGACACCCCACGCCCAAGCCCTCATCGCCGGAAGCTGAGGGAGATTGCTCTACATTGTCACGCGTTTCAGACACCGTGCAAAAGGCTTTCATAGCGATACGTGAAAAATTTCGTGCGAATCGGACAAAGCGCATAGGAGGAACACAAAAAAGTAGTTTATGGACATTTTGCGCTCTAGCGGAAAAAAATTATAGGCGGAAGTGGGCGGGGCCTATATGGGGAGATTCAGCTCCATTCACCGAACGCGTGGATATAAGGTTTTTAAATGTGCAAAACGATGCGGAGTTATTAGCCTAAACAACCTTTTCATGATAGTACGCCACCTATGAAAAAATATAATAATAGCTAATAACAAGAAAAGAAACATAAGAAACAACTCAAAACATAGTCGCTGGCTCGGTCCCTAAATATAGGATATCATTGGATGTATCCTTAAGGCGCAATTCAGAACCATGGTAGATTGGCACCTTTACAGTGGGTAGAAATGTACAGTCAGTGTAGTACTAGTTTGCTTCTCAAGATCTAAATCTTTGTTTTGTTTTTGTTCACCCTTGTAGCAAAATGCATGCAAAATGCTGAAGAGTGGTGATACAGGGCCTCACTTCATGGCCTCTCCTCAGTGCGTTGGCTACAACCGCCAGACAGCCTTGTCTCTCACCATGACCATGTGCCTCCCTGACCTGGTGGAGATCCGCAGGGCTGTCAAGCTGTGGGTGAAGAAGACCTCTGCCCGCTCCATCTACATCGCCACCGACTCAGAATCCCACAGTAGGGATATTGAAAAGCTCTTCAAGGGCAAGGTGGGTTTGTAAAGCTTCTGCACATGTATCTTAGGTGTCTTAGGAAAAATTGCGGTGGCTGCAAAACGTGCAAAAGACGTGAAAGGCCCTATCTACAGC